ATGTAAAGCTGTTCTTATTAGTGAAATGTATTTGTATATGGCTTTTTGTGTGTGTGTGTGTGAAAGAGTTTTAGAATGGGTGTTGTGTGTAATGTATTGGTGTATGCCTTTATCATCATTATTACATTGAGTTGTAAGTTTTATTTATCTTTATTTTAAATATTAAAGTGTAATTTATTATAATGTATTCTGTTTTTTAAATGTTTATTTATAAATTTAATTCTCTCCTTTTTTCAAGATTTATATATTTTTGCATTTTTTAATGGTTTCCATAGCAACAGCGTCGCGCGATGTTGTGGCGCACAGCTACAGTCTTCGTCAACATCTTAAAAACATAGAAAGGCTTAAAAACAAGTAATTTATCTGCTCACTTCGATGTCATCATAGTCACGAATTCTGCAAAAGACAAAGTGAAATAAACCACAATTAGTTGAGTAAATACAGTTTACAAATTTTTGAGTAACAGCAACATTCAACTTGGTGTATGAGTCAATAAATTTCAATACGTAGACTGTTACCACCTTACAAGCGAACAAAAAAAGTTCGCCATACACCTCTGAGTCTAAAGTATTTTTGCAAAGCCATTTCGAAAAAAATTTGGTCGCCTTTTTACGTTTTTCGGTGATACATTCGGCAATAAAATTTGTTTTTAAGTTGTTGGAACTGGAATAATCGAAATAGTTCCTTAGCAGAAATTTAATGATTTTTGGTGAGCTTTAATTTACCGGCAATAGGGTGGTACGTTCGGGTGATAATAACTGAGATCTGATGGGTAGGTATTCGAACGGGAGCTTTTTCGCCAATGAATTATTTCAACAATAAATATTTTCATTAAGTCCTATTTATCAACAGCATATCGAGTCTATTAGGAATTGCAGTAAATATATTCCGGCAGATTTGGAGTCAGTGAAACTACATGTCTAGGCTAAGGTTCTTTAGGCTTAAGGTTAATTTAGTTATCCATCGTGTTACCACATTGCAGAATTTCAGGAACGATAGCTGCAGAAGAAAACCCTCGACTGCCCGCGATCACCAACCGGCCGGTGACTACTTGTACGCAGTGGTCGAAGCCACAAACTTGCCAAAACGCCGCACTGCGGACAGCGACAGCCCAACAAACATTTAGGTTAAAGCTTAAACAGATGGCAGCGTTGATCCGGATTACTCGGACTTAATCCGGATCAAGTGCAGTTAATTCCCGAGTTGATCCGGATCAACGCTGCCGTCTGTTTATGCTTTTAGAGAACGATTAAAAAATGATTCGAATTTTAATGTGTTTATCTAAGGTAAAAGATAAAAAGACGATTAGAGAAACTGTCGATAATTATAGCATGGATAATTCTCTCGATATCTAGTGTTTCTCTAATTATATTCTAATCGAATTCTAACATATCTCTCTAATTTGATTTTCCCTTCATGAAATACATTAGAATCGTAAAGTAAAATCAAAATGTTTCTCTAACATTAGAGATTGTGATTGCTGGGACGATGCCTTCTGATGTCGCCTGAACATCACTTGCACAGCGAGGCCCCAACCCTACAAGACAGCTGAGTATCATATGAGTACTCATATTATCATTATCCCTAATCACAAAAGTGCTTATCAAAGTCCTCATTTTCGTTCAGGCCATGGGAAAAAATTGAGTACTTTCCCCTCAATGTTGTCATCAGAAAGTCCTCAGTACTAATAGTCAAACTACTCATTTATGCCGTACTACAAAAACAAAAGTGTAAATGTGTGAGAATTTTTGCCTAAAGTGCTCAGCAATGTCTTGTAGGCAATGCTCCCAGTAATGGACAGTTCTAGAAAGGTACTACAGACGCGAGCACCCGAACAGACACTTAAATCAAACAACCACTGAGAGACATTATTCATAGAGAGTTCCGTCACAACCTTCAGTGACTCTCGACCCATGAAGACGAAGAGTATAGAGGTCAAAGGAAACTGCTGTGGATAAATTTTTTGTTTTGGTCGGAAAACAATATTTCACCTAAAAATTAATGAACATATTAGGCCAACTTTAAAGTCTTAAAACAATGACGTAGAAAAATTTCTCTGCATTTGACTATATTATTTATACATATGTACATTTAATCACTTTCAAAACAGTAAAGTATGACTAACTTTTCCCGAATGACATCAATATGTTATTGTTCAACCACTCATCTACATATGTATACACGTAGTTGCCATTCACATAAATATCGCTCTGTGTTGATCAGCTTTATAATAATTTAATTATAAGCTTAACATCAACTCTCCCCCACCCATTGCCTTTTTTACAATCACATGCGAATTGCGCAATTTTTCGCAAATTATATTTAAAGTTTGACGCCCGCGCAAAAAACGTTTAGAAAGAAAAATGTGTGTTTGCGTAAAAGGTAGTGATGTGTGAAAATGAATCCAAGCCCCACCTACACTTAACTAAGCTAGCCATAGTTGGTAGCAAGCAAAATCATTCAATATAAACAATAAATATTTACATATATAAGAAACTAACACTTTATGTGAGTAACAACAATGGATGGGAAATCAATGGCGCAGCGAAAAAATTATGACGACTTTTATTTTAAAGCGAAAGTAGCAAAAAAGCTATGGGCCAGCAAGGAAATAGCGATAAAGCTTACTAATAAAAAAAAAGCTGATGTTGATTCAGTTACGAATACAGAAAATAGGTAATAGGATTATAAAAATATGTAAATACGTATGTATATACTAACTATTACTGGCTCAGATGGACGTACAAGAAATTTTTATGTTCGAAAAAATAACATCGAATAGTAAAGGCAGAAAAAATCGCTTTGAAAACTTGTACTTGAGCCGATTTGAAATTCGAATTTTATTTTCAAAAGCTCCTATTTACGCTAGAATGTCAAAAATAGAGATATAAACGTAGAATGTTAGAAAAAAGGTAAAAATAAATGCTAAAAAATTAAGTGCTTACAAAATAAAGGTTAAAAAAAATTGGTATTTCCGAAACAGATATGCAAAAAATTAGTAATAAATGAATGTTGTATGGTCTATAATATGGACACCAATAAAACCTTTATCAATATGTTTTGGACAAAAAAAAATATTTCGAATTTTCGAAATTCATATTTTCAGTCCAATTTAAATAAATCGACATGCTTGAGCTTTCTTGAACTTTTATTACTAGGTTGTGGATTTTCATATTTTCGAAATTTATAGAAATTTTTAAAATGGAGTTTCCACAGATCCTTAATAATAAGGTGTTTTCCTTACACGTCTTATAAGCATTACATGCGGGTGCCTATAAAAGTGACTACGAAAAATGGGGGAACTTTCAGAATTAAATTTTACTCAAAACCAGCTAAAATGCGTATGTATGTGTATTAGGCATTCTGAAAATTGAGATGATAATTTCAACATTTAAACTTTTGAAACAAAATTACATATCGTCTTTTAAAGTACAAAACCGCGTATGTGAGGATGCATAAATTATTTTTAGAGACTAAAAACACTCATATTTCAAAAAGGTTTTCCTTTTTATAAAGCAATCGCATTTCTGGCTAGTATATTTCAGGACGAATGGGTAAGGATTGAGCCAAGAGGTTGTGTGGGCAAATCCAATTTTTGGCATCAAATGTTACACGCCGATATTTAAAAAATTCGAAAACAAAATCTAAATGCTATTCACGTAAACGAATCCTGTGTACAATAACTGCCAGTCAAAATGGTTCAAGCTAAAAAAAAATTGTGTTATTTTTTTATAAAGATTTGGGTTATATTTAGTACAACAAAAAAAATAAAATCAAAATTCTAAACCTGGTACAAAAATTAGGAAAATTCTATAAAATTTCCATTAATATTCATGAAAATTTCTAGATTTTTGATCAGTTTTTTTTTAGAAATATCTCGAGAATGCAGTTTTGCAGTCCACTGAATTTAACTGTAATAAAATGCAGGTTGAAAAAATTACAAAGTTATCTGCTAATTGAGCTTTATCTTATAGGCACCCACACACTTGCGATATCTGTCGGTTCGAAACTATACCAGTGAAACCGACAACAGATTTAAATGAGCAACCACACACACCAATACGATTTTGCTGTAGCAACTTATTCGAACATTAACAGTTTTTTTCGAAGTGCCGAAATCGCAGACTGCTGCGTTTTGAGAACAAAAATTTGAATAGACGCATTTCGAGAATTAAAACAAAAATTTACTTTAGAAAACAAAACGTTTTTGATGTAAAAAAGCAAAGAGTTTTACTTTTTGTTTATAAAATGCCATTATGCTTCCTTAACTTAATAAACACAACCGGTAGTAAAATTCTACAGTTCATCGGAACTTTGCACTTCCGAATTAAAAAATATTTATGCCTATAAAAAATTAGAAATTCTTATCGATATTTAAAAAAAAATACTCAATTTCGAATTTTCGAAAATTTCGAAAATCAAAATGTTTAGATAATAAAATTACTACTAATAAAAATTGTCTTTAATTATCGTCACAGAATAATTTCAGCATTTTTTTTCGAAAACCAAATTGCATTTTAGAAATTTCAAAAATGCAAACAAACAATAAATCGAAAGAAATAACTCACTTAGGTGAAAGCGGAACAATATAAAACAATATTTAGTACTCACAATCCGATGATTAATTGCAAATAAGACACGTGTAAGTATAAATTAAATGTAGTTTCACCTCTAATTTTTCTAATTTGTATTTTTTACACTCGAAAACTCATATTGAAATCTTTGCTAATATACACTACGAAATTTCGCCTTCCACAGCATTTATCTCGAATTACTCATAAATTACAACCGAACCGCCTGATTAAGAGACTTCAACACACCCAATGACTTGTGATCGCACAAAAAGGGGCCAGTGAGTAATAACAGTATAGGAGGAAGAAAAACGGCAAAGAAATTATATTTATGTGTATATACACTATAGTGCATACATGTGAAAAAATACAATAAACAGAGATTGGCAACAACATTGAGCAAAAGCCAGAAAATTAGAGGGCAAATAAAAAGGCGAAACTATTGTGTCTCGAATGCAAGCAATTAACATAAAATGTTTCTATTTTTCGGAGGTAAGCAAATTACGCGGAATTTTTCGCATATACGACACCGTCACGTTTAGTACGAAAAATGAAGAAAAATGAAATAAAATAAATAAATAAAAGGCAAAAAGCTAACATATTAATATACATACGTTTGTACGCTTGGTATGCATACACATATGTACATACATATGTATGTGATAAAGTAAGGAACAAAGCAAACCTTCCGAACATGGCACCATGCCAAAAATTCGTGAGGACCTAATAAATTTGCTTTTGGAAACAAAGTATGCATGCATGTGTGTGGATGTATGTTTATACTTTAGGTGAAACGGGATAGACTTTCAAGTCATTTAAAATGTATGCCAACCTATATAACCTGCTACCCACGGCCAACCGCCTACACTCTCATACAAACACATGCAGAGTTCAGTCACTTAACGGCTCATCCAGCCAACTAATCCTATGGTTGTAAACATAACGATTTAAGGCTGATTGTTTGCACAACATTGTATGTATTTATGTACATATGTATGCGCATGTGATGAGTATGTATGAAAGGCTCTAACGACAATCATCAATGCTTTTATGCCAATTCTCTTACCAAACACTACACAAAAAAAAAGCAAACATTAAGAGCAAACATGAAGGTTGATGGACGGGCAAGGCTAATAAATGCTAATCATTGCTGTGTTTTGTGTAGGAGCGGTAGGGCCCAAAATGTGATGCAGCCATGTGTTGTGCGGGTTTTTTCACATTTGCACACACTTGGTGAATGAAAATAAAAAGGCGATGGCAAAGAAGTGCAGCTACCTGCTGAACCTATTACAGCACCCCACCCCTGCCCATAAGCCATTAAAAGCACAGCTAATATATTACAATTGGCAAAGAGAATAACAGCAAGCAACTGATACTTGCTAACATTCGCTTAGAATGGGCAGGACTGTGCTGATGGATAATGTTTGCCAAGTGGTACAAGCTTGTGCGTGCGTAGCAATGTGTTTGGATAGTAAACCTTTTAGAGATTTTTTGTTTGGGTAGTGGCAAACTAAAGCATTAAAGTGATTGAAGATGAGCTACCAGCGTGGCAGTAGAGCAAACAAAAACTGCCCTACAATAAAATAACACGCACATGCGTTGGCGATGCTAAGGGTGCGGCGCCGCACGCAGTAAAGCATTCCGTAAGAAACAAACAACTCTGATAAATTGACTGAAATAATAAAAGCACCTGAATTTTTGCAAAAGTAAGGGTAACCTATCAAAATGATGTGTTGATATGTACGGCCACGTGCGCCTAAATAAATAGGAAGGCAAGCATTGGTAGTAGGCAACTACACAACATCGTGCGGCATAAAGACGTGGTGGCGGTGGTGTGCTAATGCCCCCAGGTGTATGCAGTATGTAGGCGTGGTCGTAACAGCATTTCGTTGTAACTTGGGACGGAAAACATTTATACATGCCGCTCTTTTACATTCTTAATTTGGCGTTTTTTACGAGAGAGTTTGGCAAACGTCAACTAATAACATTAAAGTCGCAGCTGCAGCATGTTTCTAAAAATGGCAGCACACGCATTCCAATTCACTCCATCACAAAAGCATGACACCAGCACCTCACCTGGGTATCAGCTGCTCATCTACTTAAAATATGCATGTAGAAATTAAATTATTTACATAAATGTTTTTTATACACCAAGTTAAAAGCTGCCGCTACATGTCGATATATACATAGATGTGGACGTATTATGTAGCAGAAGATGCATACCTTCATAATTGACCTGACCGTCACCATCGATATCAGCCTCCCGGATCATTTCATCCACTTCCTCATCTGTTAACTTTTCACCCAAGTTTGTCATGACGTGACGTAATTCAGCCGCTGAAATGAAGCCGTTGCCATCCTTATCAAATACTCTAAAGGCTTCTCGGATCTCTTCTTCACTATCGGTATCCTTCATTTTGCGTGCCATCATTGTCAAGAACTCGGGAAAGTCAATGGTGCCATTGCCTAAATTAAGCGAAGGAAGAGAAAATCAAATTTTTGTTTAGTGGTAATAAACAGGAAAGCCTCGAAAGGCTCGAAAGTAACAAAGTTATCGACGTTGACATGAGAAGACCTTTTATACTTTATTTTAATTTATCTTCTGGTTTAAAATCAAGTTTAATTTAATTGAATTTTTTTTTATGTACTTTATTTTTTAAGTTTATTTTTCTATATTTTTATTTTATTGGAATTTAATTTTCATTTCAATTCAGTTTTCATTTTTATTTGAATTTAATTTTTTGATTTTCATTTTTAATTTAATTTAAATTAAATAAATTTAAATTTTAATTTTATTTAATTTATATTTTATTTAAATTCTAAATTTATTTAATTTTAATTTTAATTAAATTTTAATTTTATTTAAATTTAAATTTAATTTTTATGTTAATATTATCTTTATTTTGTTTCGATTGCTTTATATTTTGTTTTTATCGTTTTAAATTGTCTCTATTGTTTTACATTTTGTGTCTATTGTTTTAAATTATGTTTCTATTGTTTTATATTTTGTTTCTATAGTCTTTTATTTTGCTTCTGTTAATTAATTTTCGCTGCTTTTTTTATATTTTGTTTCTATTGTTTTATATTTTGTATCCATTGTTTTCTATTTATTACATTGCTATGTATTTTTTTGTTTCTAATGTTTTGTATTTCGTTTGCGTTGTTTTAAATTTAGTTTCTATTGTTTTATATTTTCTTTTTGTTGCTTTATGTATATTTTTTTATTCTACTTTAATCAAATTTTTTTTTATTTTTATTTTAGTTTATTAAAAACAAAAATTTTATAACCGGTAAATAAAGTTTCCATTTTAATTTTTAAAATTTTCGATATAAAAAGTTTTGGTATGGTTCCACAAAGACCTGGTAATGTAAATTTAACTAGTCAACTAAGTTTCTCCCGCACTTACGTTTAATCGCGTGTTTGTCTTTCGAAAGTTTATTTCCAAAAGACTACCCAAAAAGTGAATACCAATCAATTCAATTGGAATCGCTTGAAATCGCAGTGCGAAAGCACGCGGCCAATGCAAATATTTAACCCAAATATTATTATTTATTACTATTTTTTATCATTTTATTTCTTAAAATAAATTTCATCGTCTAAAGGAATAAAATAATTAACAATGCAATAATTGGCCGTAACTAAAATATTTATTATTTTATTTCCAACCACTTATTTTATAGCGTAGCATAATGTGTTTATAAATACCTTTACACCGCAGTTTTGCACATGTTTTAAATTTAGCAACATTTCATTAGCCATATTTATACATTTCACGAAATGCCAACGCGAAAAAAACAAAAAAAATCGTTCAATTGAATGCCTGAATGACAGAAAATTAATAGAAGTGGATTGCAGCCGAACAAGGAAGTCTTGTGACCACAGCGGCTTTCCCCAAAAAGATATGCATGCCATTACCTGCCACTTCCCTGCCCACCGCTACAGCCACCTGGGAGCGACAGCAACTACAAATCTACTATACATATTCTCCTTGCCCCAGCAAATATAAAGAATTTTACATAGCGATAAACGACGTACAAGAAATAGACGCCAATAATTTGCAAAAACAAAAATTGCTGGCACGGATTCGCAATGCACGCCCGAGGAGTGCTCTTGTGTTTGATGATGCCAGATCGAGTTTGTTTTTTGCACAAATGTAAAATAAGATGAATATCGACGTACATACATGTAGATACATACGTTCATTGCTACGGAAAGTTTGAACTGAGTACGTCGCACTGCTATAAATAACACAAAAATAAACGCCGATGGTGCGTTAAAATTAGAAAGCAAACAACAGTGAATGCCGAGTATTTGGGTAAAAGTGTAAAAATAATAAAAATATGTATCTACATATGATTTATGTATGCTTCGAAACTTGAAGAATAAATCAACAGAATTCGCGAAAAAATTATATCAAACTTGACAAGGCCGGCACTGAAGCAGAGCGGGTTTCGTTAGGTGTGGGGGTTTTGGGTTTTCTAAAGCGCCATGTAAGCGCAAGACACACGTGTACTATTTCACATTACACAGTAGTGTCCAAATAAAGGTTATCACCCGCAAAAAGTTTTCTAATAATGAAAAGAAATCGCGGTCATTAATAAGAAATTGTGTTTGCAGTTGTAAATGCAACTTGTTCATACGAGCCTAGGAATTATTATGGATATTTAAAAGATAAGTAACAAAAAATTTTAATTGTAAAAAACAATAAAATTCACAGTCATTTAGTGATTACGCAAGGTGTTTCTCGGTAGCGATTTGGAAAAATTCCCTCTCACAGTCAGTTATGATTCATTAACAACATTTGATGAACATTAAAGTTAAGTAAAGAAATAGAAAGATATGTTTAGAAAATTATTTTATGTATTTATTTTATTAATTCCATTCCATTATTTTATTAATTCCATTATTTTCTTCTTCTTAAATTTGAATTATTATTGTAAATAGTATTACTTTTTAAAAAATTGATTGCTAAAAGATAAACAGAATAACGTTAGCAGATCTTTCAATTAGCCTTTAAGATAGGAGAGGGCTTTACAATTCTATTCGCGTGTTGTCACAGCCGTCAATTGCCACACTTAAATTGTCATTATCGTGTCATCAACTGTAGTCATAGTATAATGACAAGCGAATAGCTCGTTTTATTTGCAAATTGCGGGGAAAGTGAAACAGCTGTCCTTTGTCCACTGCAACAGACTGGATTACTTTTAAATAGAATACACCGCAATGGATTACGAAACGCCGGAAAAGTGAGTAATTTTATAATAGCAAATTTCATTTCAGGCATGGAAAATATGAACGCACCACACAAGAGCAGCTGCAGTTTTGTAAAGACAACCCTGAACTGCAACGGGTAAAAACTGTTCAAACAAACTGTTGTCTCGGAGTTCCCTCAGAAGCCTTCTTGCTCCAAAACAATAGCCGCGCACATAATTATTTCCTGCATGATTAATATTCTGCAATGGATACTATTACGATATGCAAACGCAAATTATAACTTTTTAACACACCTATTTAGGCAAATAAAATGGTTTCACAGTTTTTATTTAATAAAAATGTATAACCTTTTTCCGCAAAACGAATAAAACTGAAAATATTAACATATGTATGTTTAAGCGTTGTCACGTACTCAATAGGTCATCACGAAAATAATAGCAATTGTCATTGTAAACGTAACAATTGATTATAAACATGACAATAGTTATAGCGGCGAGTTTTGTCATTGTCTTTCGAAATACTGATGAGTTAAAAGACATTTGCCCGAATTGTCGTTTAGCAATAAGTTCTTAAAAATTAAATTTAAAAAATGTGTTCCTTTTTAAAACAATCAAATCTAAAAACGAAACGAAAATTAATAAAAAGATGAAAAAAAATTAAATAGTTTCCAAAAATTTAATAGTTTCCCAAAATGTAATGAAATTTAAAAATATATTTATTTTTAAAACAATACAACCTAAAAGCTATGTAGAAAAGAGATAAAATAAGTTTATAAAGTAAAATTAAATACAATTAAAAAATATATTTTTCTTTTTAAAACAATAAAATCTAAATAATTAATGAAAGAAATGTTATTAAATGTTATAGTCTTGAGCGAGGCCTTATCGGTAACATAGAAACTTAAAAAATCTGATAGCAAAAAACGTGATTTAGCGATTGTAACGGCCGAATAAATAAGAATTTAAACCCAAATTTTTTTCTCGACACAACTATTCAAATAAGACGCTAAACATTTTTCGTGATACGCCTTAATGTACATACAGTCGGTGGTAAATCTAAGTGTACCCCTTGTTCACAATTTTTTTCATTCAGCCTTATCATGAGTTTCATTTTCCCCGAACCGGTTTACTTTTCACTTTTGGTTTCCATGGTTTTACTATGGGCGGATGACAAATTTTCGGGTGAATTTTTTTTCAGGCGGAACTCAGGATAAGCCAGATTAATTATTTATGAAAATATGTATAGTACATTCTATAACATAAAGAAAAATTGATTCCGATCACGCGTTATATGGAAGAAAACGCGCAACACCCTCCAAAAAGAAAATCTAAAAAATCAACGGTACTCTCAAGGGACCTGAAACTTGCACTCTGTTCAAACATTTTGAAATTTTTATGAAAATTGTTTGAATTTTTGTGAACTTTATATAAAGTGTGAAACTTTGATGTATATAGATATGTACATATACAGAATGAACTATATTTTCATAGATAATGAATGAAAACAATTTGTATGAAAATAATTGTGAACACTATATTAGAACAAGGTATACACTTACATTTGACACCGACTGTATGTACTTATTTTTAACCAACTTTAAAAAAGGAGGGGGTTATCAATTCGTCGGAATATTTTTTTTATGTATGCTACCGCATAATTTTGGACCACGCTATCAGATTTCTATAATTATTTTTACTTAAAAATTTTTATTGAAGGTGCATTTTAATATAAACGCAGTTTCAAAAAAAGTGTTGGTTGGGGCCTTTGTGAATTAAGGTAAGATATGTATGTGCGTTACGCTGCGATTATGTGCTTAGTGGTCGTTACCTTCATGTACACATTCGCATTCGCAAAATATTCGTATCATTTGGTGCGAATGCGAATGTAAATATGTATTCGCAACATCCCTGGTACGTACGTATGCAGCAGGCAATTTCCACAGCAGCTTAAGCTATTGTTCCATTAACATTGCCAACAGTCTATTGGCCGTCTGTGCTGCAATTTTTCGGCCGTCAACTCAAATCACTTCGCCTCCTTCATCACTCACTGTCCATAGTGCTACGGCTTTTAATAGCCACCAGTAAATGTAGTGTGTAAAAAAGCGCTGTTGTCAGCGCCAACCAGCGCCGCGCTACATAATGATAAACAGTACATTCATTAGTTGAATATCGATTTTCTAGGTGTCTATAATTTATGTACCTAGGTATGTATTTAAGCGAAAAAGTAAAATTTTTGTTGTGGGAAATCCTCA